ATTTAGTAACACCAGAAGCTAGATAATAGTGTAATACGATTACTGCAATACCAAAAAATTAATAGTTATTTCTAATACTATTTTCCTCTATCATAAAGGAATAAATCTTACTGTAACAAAACGCTCGAAATTCTCGTGGCAGTCAACGTGTTAACACATTGCGTACCGGTAACGAGAAATCTCGTTTTTATATAAAGACACTTAGCTATGCAACTTCGCTAATTGCCACAGCATTGAAAAAATATAAAATTTAATTCGAATCGATTATCTATTTAAAATATATTACATAACAATATGATATCTAAGTTTTTCTATGCATAGTGATATAAGTTGACCTCAGTGAAAATTGCAATCCGCACATTTAGTTTTCTGAAAATTAGCCGGTACGCAATGTGTTAACCTTGAAAATAAATATTTTCACTTAAATACTGTAATGTTACTTCCATCCAGGAGTCTCCACCCCGTCCGTAAAGGGTTAAAAAGTAGAGCAAGGGGTTAAAAAGAATAAATAAGCGCAAGGACGCGACGTGCCACGATTTGGCCACCCCTGGTCTATCACGTTCTGCGATCGGAACAGGCCGATTGGCAACAGGCTATCAGCGAGTAAGGTATGCCACGGTCTCGACGATCGTGAGTGGGGATCTCCCTTCAAGTGGTCCGAGCCTGATAAAGTCATAGAGCAGCTTGAAAGCACGGTTAGATTGTACTCGGGTAATGCGTCTCCGTAGAGAGTAACAGGACGTTAGTCCGCGCGCGCTTGCATTGCAGTTGACACCGGCCCGCCTGTCCCGGGAGACGGAACCATAACCATAACCATAGGTTTAACACCAGACCCGGGGAACCCGTCAATTTGACGGAGTTTGAATTTCATGCCGGCTGTTATAGAAACCGTACATTCTACATTCGAACAATTTACGTTAACCCTGATGGACGTTAATCCTTGAACGCGGAGACTGATTAAGAGGGCTCCGTGTAGGGGATGTTCGCGGAACTGCGGGGGGCGAACGTGCATGGAAAAGTAAACTGAAAGTGGGTGATCGAGTTTTGTTGCGGGTGACTTTGTTGCTGAGGTAATTGAGATTGAAGATTGGGTGGATTAACAGAAGTGGCGAGTCGCGATCAGACATGATGGAGTGAATTAATGGGCTTGGTGAATTTGAAATTGTTCTTTGGTTTAATCGGGTTTGATGTTTTGTAATACTAAAATACTTAGACTGTGTTTTTCGACTTTGAAATCTTTAGACGTTCGAACTTTCAAATTTTTTAATTGGGCTTTCAAGTGTTTAAATATTTGCATCTTGAAATTTTTAAATGTATCAATTTTCTAATTTTCAAATTTTCCAAGATTCCGATTTTCCAATTTTTTAGTTTCTAAGTAACTAGTTTTTAAGCTAGTTAAGAATCAAGCATTTAAACCACAATTTCAAGATTAGCTCGCCCAAAATGAACTTCATCCCCTTAGCCGAGAAATCTCTAATCGCTCCTTCATCTTCCACCCTCCACTCGGCCGTACTTAATTTCCATGCACAATAAATCCGTCCACCAACAACAATAATAATTAAATTCAGATATGTCTGAGCCGCGAACCGTCCCTGAAGTTTTGCCATTCCATCGCTAATAAGCATAGAAGCAGCAAGAAACTCACCTCGCAAAACCACATTCCGAGTTAATGACCGAACACCGGCATGCCATAATTACTTTCTTCCGAAACGGTAAGAAACCTTACGCGTCAACCATGAAACATCCCCACAAACCTCTCCCCTAATCTCGCCGAATTCCCAAGCAACAGTTAAAATAGTATGACGCACCAGTTTAAAATTTTGCTGCCATCTGTAACAAGCTACCCCTGCTAACCCTCTTCGCTAACTATTCCAGTTAAATACAAAGAACCTTCCACCCAAATCCCCTATCAAAACAGCAAACTTTCTCATATTTTTATTTTAAACATTGAAACAGTGTTTCTATTATTAAAACCTTCAGTTAATAATAAAATTATTTTACTATCTCCTTCCTTAAGACTTTAGCCCGCAGATAATACCGTAATTGCTTCATCAATTTAAAATTTTAATAATAAGAACTCTTTTAATCCAAGTGAAATAAAAATGTGACATAGTGATAGACTTCTAAGTCCTCCAATCATAGTTTTCCCTTTTACGTGATGCGTTTCCATGAATATCCCATGTAGACAAAAGACCTTAGGCAACAAAATATAAGCTAAATAGCTCCCCAATCCTCCATACTAACTATTCCAACAAATTCCAAAGAATCTCCAACATAAATCAACTGTTAATCTCAAATTTCCTATAAAAACCATAACTATTCTTCAACAAGACGCATCTCCATGAAAATCCTACATAAGCAACCGTCACGAGGTAGCAAAGGACAAGCTAACCGACGCCGTCTGACGGCTGCACAAACTCCAGACGCGAAGTACACGCAGAAAGCCACGGTTACCGGCAATTACCACCGCAACCTATTTTCATGTAGCGACAAGGTGGAAAGGGGGGAGGCAACACGGCATAACTAATGACGAGGAGATAAACGGGCCGGCAAACGACGCGTAACGGGCAAAGGTGCCGCGGAGATTCCGCGTGGAAACGGACCGGAAATTCCCAGGGGGGAGCCCTCGTCAGGAAATTGTTAGGATCCTCGAGCGACGGAAGCGGCCTACGCCGCGGAAAACCGGCGAGGAACGATCCCTCGGATGCCGGGACCGTTCCGAGGGAGGATTTCTTTCTTTGCTCGGGTCAAGGACACTCGATCGAGCCGGGTATTTAATAAAAGAGCGTTTCGGCGGCCGGGGATCTTGGGGTTGAAGGGAATTTCAGGGATTTTTAGTGGTTTCACTGGTTCCATTCGATTTTTCAGTGGTATTTACTGCGAAAGGCAGCAGGAACTTCGATTTTCTTGTTTCCTGATAGTTCTATTCCTTTTTAATCAGTTTTTCGGTTTTCACGCGAAATTTGAATATTCTTAATTACATTAGTCTCCTGTTTCTTGGATTCAACGCTGTACTGTAATTTTACGTTTACACTGACACCTCCTTCTGTTACATTGCTTTGAACTCGGGAATATTTTCCTCAACATTCATTATTTTCTGATGAAAGAACGATTAACATAAAGGTGTACCTAGCACGAATTAAGCCATAGAACTATTTTATTTCGATAGTCCACGTTGTATTATATAGAACTTAACACTGAATTATAAATTCCACAATTTTGCTGGGCCAAGTTGGCAACTGAACGGCGTTTTTCGAATACAAGGAGTTAAAATGTTTCTAGTGAGGAACTTTCGAGTGCAAAGGGTTAATAGTAATGTAGTGAAGAGAATATTAACATTCGCTGATAAGATAAAGATGATATTCCGTGAAACTAACTCGAAGAGAACTCACGTGTACACTCAAGAACAAAGCCATTTTATTTCGATATTTCTGAAACTGATGCATTGCACGAAATATAATGTTAAATATCAAGTTTTATAGTTTTACTGTATGAAATCAAGTGGCGAGAATCACCTCTCGAGCGCAAGGGGTTAAACTAGAAGTTCGACTAATGAAACCGTGTACGGAAACCCTTAAGTGAAGTCAGGTAAACTGTTAGTAAAAAGGTGTTCCCGAAAATGGCACTGCCAGAATTGTTGTCGTCCAGAAGAAAATGGAGTCGCATGGTAAATTCGTTAATTTCGTAAACGGTTAGCAGCACCTTCAGCGGCTTAAGCAGATTCCATGTTTATCAGTTAGGTTCATTGGACACGACCGAACTTGCAAGCACCCTTCACCCTTACCCATCGGATGCGAGTTTGATAACGGGGAATTAAGTCTGGGGATTAGCAGTTTAACTTAACAAATTCGCCACTCGGTAAGTACCTGCGGCTTAACTTCGCCAGTTAATTCAATTACCGGCAAACGATTCCCGCGGCTTTAAAGTACGATCTCGCAGCTGGTTTTCAATTCCTGCGGTGTGGCTGAAAACCTAACCCCAGAAAGCACGTTCCAAGCTTTTTACACGGCCATTACAAACTTGACACAATTCAGTATGAAAATAATATTCATGCATTACTGTCAAACCGTACAGATATTGCAAGAAATACGACGAGAAAGTAGGGTATTATTTGGAATAGATATGAACAGTTTTACATATAATCCTCAGAGTAATTACAAGTCATTGCTGCTTTTGAGGTACTAAAGTCACGTTTGGTGTAACGTTGAACTTGAACATTGCTTTGATAAAGTTTAGGTCATGTTTAGTTATGAATAATATGTAGTTATTCGAATCTTTACCTAATTTTTAGAATTTTGGGTTTTAATTTATATGAATCGAGTGATTAGGTAATAATGACACTTGGTTCACTTCTTAGTTAGACCTGAACCAACCCTAGTTTCGTCTTTGATGCTTAGGACCCCAGATCCTAGAGACTTTTAGTTTCCAAATGAATCTATTCTAAATACAATTACACCTGCTCTATACTCAATCACACGTGCCATTTTTTTCATTTGCAATGATTCAAAATTTCACCAAATATATTCCACACTTAGCCTAGCCCAAGCACTCTAAACCTACAAAAATCTACTTTATCCCCAATCTAACTTTCAAATGGCACGTTCCTATTCTAGAAAATGAAAATATTATCACAAACCCTTGAGCCGTAAGTCTTTTACCTTATCACTAAGAGGAGTGACATTGAATACCACAAATTATATACCACTGATAGAAGCAAACATAGTTGCACCGACCTTTTTAAAAGCCGCAAACAATGCATCCATGATTCAACATTTCATCAACCTTCCATCGAACTAGTGACATCTATAAATTATTATACTAACCCGACTATCCACGCGGGCAAATCGACAAACCGATAAGCGACAAACAGATAAGCGAAGTCGCAGTAAAATGCACGAATCATATACACCGGCCATCGCCAACACTCCCACTACCGATTCTAATTATGCGACGCGAGACGCGCCGTTTGATCAGCCTTGTTGACACTTCAGCGACTGGTCACCTTCGATACCGCAACCAATCGTCGCGTAGGAAACAGAAATAATTGCCGTGGAAAGGATGGGGGCAGTCGGAACTAACGGACGACCGACTGAAACATCATCACCGCGGAACTCAGATGCACCGTGGTTCTGTGCGCGTTGACGTTATGCGGTTAGGAGCTTCATCATTTATTTGCGTACCGTTCCGATCACAGTATTTCGACAGTCGTCGCGAAAGAAACTGCCAATCGTCGCACGATGACTCGGTTTCGGTGTACGCTGCTAGTGTGCCTGTTCTTGGTGACTGTACATTGTCTGTGGGTGCGTGGCAGCTTGGTTCGCACAAGGTTCGGCAGGATTCGAGGCCTGTGGAGCAGGAGCACTAGGGGCAGGCTAGCTGCACACTACTTAGGAATCCCCTACGCGCAACCTCCTGTTGGTGAACTTAGGTTTAGGGTAATTTTTTTTGAAATTATTTCATTATTGCGTTTGAAACGTTGATTGAGGTTTATTTTGATGGGTTATAGGATATTTGTTTGAATTAGGTGTTGCTTTAATGGTTTATTCGTGGGCTTAGGTTTAGGGTAGTTTTCTTGAAATTATTTCATTATTGCGTTTGAAACGTTGATTGAGGTTTATTTTGATTATTTACCGGTTTTTTATAATTAAGTCTTGCTTTAATATTTTATCTACTGACATAAGTTTAGGGTAATCTTCTTGACAGTGTTTAGTTTTTATCTTAATGCGTTTGAAAAGTCAAATATGGTTTATTTTTATTGCGTATAGGTCACTTTTAAAAATAAGTCTTGCTTTAATGTTTTATTTATCCGCTTAGATTTAGAATTGTTTCTTTCTTTAATTGAATTTGTACTTTTTTTGTTGTAATACCTGACAAGTTAATTGAGGTTAACTTTGATTTTTGTTCACAGGATGTTCTTCTTTTAAATGTAGTCTTGTTTTAACATTTTATCTACTGATCAATCTCATTTGATTTAAAGTTTTATCCTTGTTCAAACATTTATTTCGCAATTGATGATCAATAGTTAAAGGTTTCTTAAGTAGTAATCGTTATCGAAGAATTTCTTTTGTAATTATTATTCCATAAATAATTATCAAATTTCTTTTTTACATAGTACCATCATTAACATGATTACTCATTAAATTAATCAGGTTTTACTAAATGCTATCCAATTGGTTACTTATAATAAATAATTCATCACAGATAATAAACTGCCACAAGTATTAACGTATTTCTGCAATTTATGTAAGTTCAACTTTTTCGTTATAATCAAAAAGTTGTAACTACTATGAGCTAATTTGAAAAATTAAAATACAATAATTTGTTTAAGATGTCCTAACATAGAATTCCATTTGAGAAGAGAAGTGCAATGTACTCAGTGTGTTTTTCTATAGAATAAAATTCTACAAACTACTTCATAGAAAATATTTTATAAAATACACCGTGTTGTAGAGCCCACAACCATGGAATCATACATGGAACTCTACTTTCTACGCCATCAAAGATGGTCCCATGTGCACTCAACTAAACGACCAAGAAATCAAGGGCAGCGAGGACTGTCTATATTTAAACATTTTTGTACCTATAGTAAGTATTCCTCGCTACAATAATCCACCAATAATGCACTGATTCTTCACCAATATTTCCCAGACAATTTAATACTAAAATTACCAAGCAATTAAATCGACTTTTCGAAATTCCTCTATAGAAATTCCAATAGTACATCTACTGAGACTTTAATCGATTTACAATTCAATTTATGTACTGTTAACTCAAATTATGTAATAATTTCCTATCAGAACTGAACTCTACCAAATATATATTTAAAAATTTTAGAAAACCGTGTGACACACTTCGAGATATTAATAAAAACTAATAAAAATGGCTGCATTAACCACAGTTGCGAGTAATATCATATAATTCTTGTTCAGTATTAAAGCATAGATCGTTTCTTTCTCATTAATATCAAAAACAATATAATATTATTCAAATTCAAACTTTAATTCGACCCGTCCTAATGATATTCGAATTTAACGACGCCCCACTGATCTCGGATATTGAATCTCCATTATTTTACAATGATACGCGAATCCCTCGTAATCTCTTGCACGGAAGTTCAGCCGAAAGTTCTTTCCTGCGTAGCGTGGCTTAAGTATTCCGAAACGGGACACGGGCTCGATTGGATCGCAAGGTTCACGCGCGGTTTAATTAAATTTAAACGGTTCAAGGTGACGTTGTCATTCCTGAATTCCGTCACGGCGTTTCCGAATGGCCACGCT